GTTAGGCTGTTGTAATAGTAAATATCCTCTATCAGAGCTTGTAGTGTCACAAATTTAATTGAAAAGAAGGAAACAACCTGCACTTATTAATATTATTAATAAAATCAATGTCTATTTGTGTGTGTGTGTGTGTGTGTGAAGTTACAACGCAACTCCTAGATACAACTAAATTGAGTCCTTTCAATTGGAAGTTTTTATTGAAGTGGAAATGTCACAATCGTTAATTTTATGCAAATCAATCTCATTTATTTTTTAAATTATAATAAATAATTAAAAACAACGTTTTATATTTACACAATAAAATTTTTATCATTTATCAATATCATTTATGTTTATTTGGCTTTAACGTACCCAAACTTAATGAGATACAAATTGTGTTTTGTTTGAAATTATATTAATTATTCAAAAGCACGAGGAGAAGATACTACACAGAGATTCAAGGCTTCTTTTCTATACTTCTGCACATAATCAGCGAATCATTTAGTTGTTGGGAAAAGGATTGAACCACTTTAAGTCTAACTCAAGATTCGATAACTATTCCTTTTTATTCATAAGTGTCACTCAAGGTTTAGTTATCGACCACTTTTGTTTTTTTACGGATATAATATAACAATTTACTTTAGTGAACATTTATTTAACTGACAAATGTCACCGAAGTTACGCTTAAATTAATATTTAAATGTTGGCCAAGGAACTGTATTGTTTATTCAAATAAAAAGTGGAATTTTATGTCAAATTCTTATCGAAAACAGGTCGAATGACCGTTTGTTTATTACTAAATGACAATGAAAATGATGTTAATTAACAAATGAAAACGATATTAACAATGAATGACCAATAAATGATAGTAAAATGATGTTAATGAAAATGATGTTAACAATGAGGAACTAATGATTGATAGTAAAAATGATGTTAATCAACAATGTGGAACTAATGATTGATAGTAAAAATGATGTTAATCAACAATGTGGAACTAATGATTGATAGTAAAAATGATGTTAATCAACAATGAGTACTAATGATTGATAGTAAAAATGATGTTAATCAACAATGAGTACCTAATGATTGATAGTAAAAATGATGTTAATCAACAGTGAGTAACTAATGATTGATAGTAAAATGATGTTAATCAACAGTGAGTAACTAATGATTGATAGTAAAAATGATGTTAATCAACAATGAGTAACTAATGAATGATAGTAAAATGGAACTTCTGTAGCGTGCAAACGTTCAGTTACACGTGCATGTTGGCTGAATGTAATATACTTTTAAGCCATGACTTTCCAAGAAGATTTATTATTATCAGTAGTGAATTCTTGTCAAGTTTTGTCTATTTTCATTGTTAAAGCAGTTGGTATCAGTGTTAATAGAAAAATGTCCGACTAAACACATAACAGACAAGATACAACTATCTTCAGGGTATTATTTCATTGTTGTACATTTGAAATACTGTTGCCACTCACAATACATTAATAAAGTGGGTGGGATTAATCTAGTTGTAAAAATGCGCTTTTTTATGATAATTTTTTTAATAGTATCTGTAAAAAATGTGGGTCGAATACCCTCCGATCCTGTTGACGGTAAATCAAAAACATAATAAAAAATCAAAAAAATAAAATGTGCGAAAAAGCTGAAACACCTTTAAAATGTACGAAGTCCAACTTTTGTACGTATTGTTCATAGAAATAACTGAAGATAATAAACCAACTATAAATACTGTTGGGGGTCAGCGGTAAGTTTACCTATTCAAAACGATAAATGTCGGGGTTCAGTTCCCGGCGGTGGGCAAAGCGCAGATAGCGTATTGTGTAGCTTTGCGCTAAAACAAACAAAAAATAAATACTGTTAATGTAAACTTTTATTTATCTTGAATATTTTGTACAATAGTTATGACGCGTTCCCATGGAAACATATAGCAGCATTTACCCAAACTCTTAATTCTGTTAACAGTAACACGTTAATTAAATATAAAAAAGAAGAGTACTTACAATCAGAACCAACAACAACAAAGAACTATATAGGCGTGAAATGTTAAAATAAAAAAATATAATAAATTGATAAGTGCGTTTTTATTTATATCGTATAGCAGTAACAATTCTAGTATTCATCAGTGTGTTTAATAATCACTACTAATTTATGGACCATCATACACGCACTTTAGAAGTCAGTTTCACGTCAGATGATCCCTTATTGTTCTACAGTAAGCCACTTTAGTGAAAAGTTAAATCTATGGGTACTACTTAAGATGATGGAATTATCATAATTACTGTGGTCATAGAGTAGCTAAAAGGTGCCTTGGTAACAGCACTTGGGAGTGTGCGTTATTTTTTAAGCTCGGGGGGGGGGTTGTTTCTTGTAACAAAGTTTCAAATCTCAGTATGCTGTGGCGACTTTTGGAACACTGTGTAAATTGTTTTAATATGGAAGTATGTTCTATTCACATACAAATTAGAAAACGGATAAGAGTGGGTGAACTGTTGTCCTTGAGATGTAAATAAAACGTTTGATGTGCTTTGTAAGTTGGATATTTTGGAGTTCAAGGTAAAGCTAGCTCAAATTTACGCTCAATTCTCCCCCCCCCGTTCTAACCACATTTACAGTACTTGATATGGGTTAGGCCTACATTCAGAGTCACCAGGCATACATGGCGTACTGAACATAAAATCCTAGCAGTAGCTTTATCATCTGACGAATTGAATACACATTCACAATTAATATTTAGCAGATATAAGACATGAGCTCGCTTTGATGTTGTGAAAAAAATCACTCGAAACGATCTCTTGTCACTTTCAGTTTTTTTTTTTAAATCGAATTTGGTCATAACTTCCGTGTTGAACTTCAGTTCTGACACTGATCATAATTTCTTTATACAGTAATACTTGTTTTATGTCAACTTGATATTATACAACTGGCTAAGAGTGTTTAGTTAATGAGAAAGATGGACTGATTAAGATATCAAGGACCAAATGTCAGTCAGTATCAGAGTTTAGTTCAAGTAGTGTATATCACTGAAATGCACAGAAAAGCGTAATTATTGTGACACCAATTTCAGATCAATGGGGCCAACAGAAGCAAAATGGTGGACGTTTAGATTTTGTCCGGGGACGGTGTTGTATAACAAACATATTTTGAACATGCAAATAAAATTATTATAAAAAGTCATTTTAGCATGTTTGACCATTCTAAAAAGTTTATGTACATTATGATCCACTTTTAATATTTCGGTTCACCGATACGACACCGGTTAGTCTATGGATTTCCAACGCTAAAATCGGGAGTTCGATTCCCCTCGGTTGACACAGCAGATAGTTCGATGTGGCTTTGATATAAGAACACACATTTAATATTTGGACTTTTTACAATAGTATTTCTTATCAACAAATAAAACAAAAATAAAAACAGAACAAATAAGTTGAAAAAAAAAAAAACCACAACAAAAACAAACAAACAAAAAACATGCCAGAATATCGTCATAATTTACGGTAATGCCAAATCTACAATTTTGTGTATTACTAAGATGTTTTTTTTTCTATCAAAAAATAGTTCAAATACTTAGAACTATATTTTTGGCTTTATGAAAAAATTTCGAATTTTCTGGTTCTTTCTTTTTGTTTCTGTTAACCTCATTGACTTCAAACTGGTGTTAAATAATTCATTTTTTCTATGTATTTCAATGAAATACTACTTGAATACTAAGCATAATACTGACTTCTTTCTTTTTTCTTTAGCCTAAGCGAAATACTGTTCACCTATTTTGAATTTTTATGATTACTGGTCGTTCACTAGAAACTTCATTCAGAGCGTTATGCTGTACATATTGTCAGTTAGCCAGTTATCAACCAGTATTTATCTTTAAATTTGTCTTTTGTCTACTCTCTTGGTGGTTAGTTCTTGTATGTACACAGATAAACTATTGATTTCGTTACTACTAATTTTATCCACAATTACCTGTTTTCACCACAGGTTTTATTTTATTTATTTCAGGTACTCTTCACATTTAGTTAGTAAATTATTCTTTTTCACCACACTGTTTTAAAAGATACTGCAAGTACGAGGAACATCTTTCCAATAAGTTTCTGATATATTTATTTCTCTTTCAAGCGTTGTAGCCACTACATGTATTCGTTGGCTGCCTGCGCAAGGAGCACTAAAATGATGATGATGTCTTTTTTTTTTTCGTCGTTGTTGTTTAGGGTTCAAACTGTTCAAGTGACATAAAGGAACTTTGGTTTGGCCAATTATCAAAACTAGTTTTTTGAAAATCGAGCTCGTATCACCGTAAAACTCCTCGTATTAGCACCGTTGTTAAAGTTAAAAAATATATACCCAAGACCTGAGCACTACATCTGATTTTTGTTAAAAGTTTAATGATCACATACAAATGTTGCATCCTTTATCTTTCAACTTGTTGATTTTTCACAAACAACCTGGGAAAATAGAGCGTGACAAAATTCTTAGATTATCCCCGAAAATCTTAATTTTGAAAGGATATATATACAAAATCTTTATTACATCTTATCCAATTTTTTGGATTTATTCTTTCCTGTGTGATTACCTATAATAGAGTTTGTTGTTCTATAGAGTAGAGAACTTAAATGGTTTTTAGTTTTAAGATTAATTACAAGTAATTTATATACACAAAGAACCTTTCTTTTTGTTTCTATACAAACTGTTGATGTGATGACTGCAAAAAAATAGTGTAATGATTAATGTAGATAACGTCACCATATGGGTGTTTCACTCAAGGCGTGATGGGATAGTCCTACATGGTATATCCTGTCAATAGAAGAACTAGGTGGGCAGTAGCCGTTCGACACGACTCCTGGTGGAAGACGTGGTCCCATTTCTGGACTTAACCGATGATGTATAAAGTTGCCACACGAATGGAGATGCGGAACATCAGTACGAAGACGGTCATAACCTGAAAGATAAAAAGACCAAGTGGAAATGTCAGTGAAAACTCCAAAATTACAGAAAACATTTCTAACGTTTATCGTTCAGAGTTTCGTACTTTTATATTTCCCATTTTTTTATTTTTATACAAAACAGTCCTTAACCAAAACGTTGCATAACAAAACAAAGTCACCAGGGCACAGGCTATAATGTGGGGGTATAATATATTTATAAGACAAAACAATTCTTAACATTAAGGTGATTCCTTTCAGATGAAAAAAAGTGAAAATATAGATACGAAAATGTTCTACCATTGGGGGTGGTAAGAGCACCTTACCTCTTGAAGTTGTCGTTCCAGCCCCCATCGTGGTAGTAAAAGTTCAAATTAATAAGGTAATATTAGTAGCACAGCACAAAAAATAAATACTGGAATAAAATCCCTACCAACTCTAAACGAGTATGATACCCATAAAGTCTACTCGTGCCCTAGTGCCTCTGTTTTATTGTACAGTGTTTGTTTAAAGATTGTTTTGTCTCATAAATATCTTATAACCCCACATTATAACCTGTGCCCTAGTGCCTCTGTTTTATTGTACAGTGTTTGTTTAAAGATTGTTTTGTCTCATAAATATCTTATAACCCCACATTATAACCTGTGCCCTAGTGCCTCTGTTTTATTGTACAGTGTTTGTTTAAAGATTGTTTTGTCTCATAAATATCTTATAACCCCACATTATAACCTGTGCCCTAGTGTCTCTGTTTTGTTGTGCAGCGTTTTGATTAAGGCTTACTTTGTATTATAAGTATGATTTATTTCATTATAAGTTTCGTCTTGCTGTTTTTAACGCAGTCCTTCCTTTTTTGATGTAAAGATTAACGTAACTGTTTAGATAATGACGTATGTATACATACACAACTTTTATTCTTGCTTTTATACAAACTGATGATGTCATGACTATAAAAATTAATATAATAGTTAACGCAAATAACGCCACCATACGACCATGCGGGTGTTTCACTCGTGGCATGATGGGATAGTACATGGTATATCCTATCAATAAAAGACCTAGGTAAACAGTAACTGTTTTGATATATTTAGTATAAATTTGCGAGATATCAAAAAATACCTTCTGTTGCGTATATATTCTTTTTGATGAGAGCTTGAACAAGTCGCTCAAGATGAAACTGTGACATACTCGCTTTCGGGAGCTTATATATATAAATAACAATACTTAGTTAAATTCAATATTATTAACAACACTTAATGAAATCAATCACAATAGAAATCTTTTGATAAATGTTATGTAATAAAACTTACCAAATTAAAAGAAATAACATAATTACACAATAATTTAATACATTGTAAATCGTATGTTTCATGGTTCATTTCATAAGAATGAAAGGATCACAGAAACCCTACACCACCTCCCGAACGGTTCTGTAAATCTTTGAAAAAATTTAAACTTTTGAACTTGATTTCCAGGATTGGAAATATTATGGATAATTCTGAAATATTTTTAGAAAAGTTTCGCAATTTAGACAACAAGATGACCCAAAATTTTTAATGATGTTTAAAGCTAAGTAAACGGTTTGAAAATATCAATTACCAATCAAACGGACTGTTTTGCCGTGTGCACGTTATCGTCTGACATGCTGCACGTGTCTAAGAACATAATCACTATATTATTTAACCGATCTCTTGATACCCTGATTTAACCTGGCAAGTAATTGTTTTTTTGTATATACTTTGTTAAACATTGCAAATTTGACTATAAGATAATATATATATATACTAATATTTGTATACAAGATGTTACAATTTTGCGTAATATATTATACTTTTATAGAGCTTCCAGGCACGATGTTTAGATTAGATCGCAAATCATCCCTATGAATCAGACACTTAACACAACTAACGTTAGAATCTAACATGTCTAATGTTAGTGCCTATGTCTAATGTGTTACCTAGATCTAGTCTCTAGTTTCTGCTAGTGTTTGTTTGTTTGTGATTTTCGCGCAAAGCTACCCTAGGGCTATCTACGCTAGCCGTCCCTAATTTAGCAGTGTAAGACTAGAGGGAAGGCAGCTAGTCATCACCACCCACCGCCAACTCTTGGGCTACTCTTTTACCAACGAATAGTTATAACGCCCCAACGGCTGAAAGGGCGAGCATGTTTGGTGGGCTGGGGATTCGAACCTGCGACCCTCAGATTGCGAGTCGAGCGCCCTAACCACCTGGCCATGCCGGGCTTCTACTAATGTCTAAAACAACGCAATGTCTAACAATGGTTTAGTCATCCAACTTTGACAATCCAAACGTGGTCCGTCATGTTCGGCATCATTTTAAAGAGAATTGTATTCATGCTAGGCCTAGATCTACTTGGTTGTAGCGAGATATATTTGGTTGAGATTCTAGGAATCCAGCTAAAACAGGTTTCGCACATCAAAACAATAACAGTAAAATTATAACGATGCATATTAATACACGTGTATTATAAATAAAAATAAGGGTTCTCAATGAATAAGTAACAATCTATATAAATAAACGTCAATATGTGTGTGTATCTGTTCCTTATAAGTTTCCATATTTCTTGATCAATCAGCACCAAACATGACACAGTGATACGGGATGACATGAGGGCTGGACCACTCTCTAATTTAATATCTATTTTCGGAAAAAACTACCAATGTTGTATATCCCTAAAAATTAGAATGCACTATGTAATCACTATAATTAGAATTCTTGAAAACAGTGTGTCTTTCTTTCAGTATTGGTACCTTTATGTATTATTTTGCACTTTTGATGTTTATTATGTTAAATAAATGCACAATTTCCTATCCTCTGTTACAAACGAGTTTTTATTTCACCCCTCCAACGGACGGGTACTCCAGCTAGTTATCTTATATTTGAAGTGGGAATCATTAACGTTTTACAGATTGACAGTTTCAAGTTGGATTAATCGTTGAATAAAACCAAACCTACGTACTACAACAACCTGACAATCCATAGAACGAATTTCCAATTATGTCTAGGGAATGATAATTGTAGAACAATATAGACAGAAAGCGAGATCTGTAAAAAATACGTATAACAGTTTTGTTTAGGTATTAGGTCGTTAAGAAATTAATGCCGCTTTTTTAAGATGAAATACCCGAACAACTTATATATCAAACAAAACATTTATTAAATGAAATAGTCTCCATTCGTATCGATGATGCTTTTTCATCTTACTATCAGGGTGTTAATACCCTGATTAAAGAAATCACTTGGTTTTGAAGCAAAAAAACATGTCGATGTCCTCTTTAACATCTTCCATATTTGCATACATTTTCCAAATAAGATGGTACTCTGATGGTGCTATATCTGGAGAATTACGGTGGGTGAGGGAGAACTTCCCAACCCAACTGCATAATCTTGTGTTGCGTCAAACATGCCACATGTGGACGTGCATCGTCGTGGAGAAAAACACCTTTCTGATTGAGGAGTGAAGGGCGTTTTCTAATAAAGGGCTTGATTGAAACTTCCATTTGCTGACTATATATCTCTGCATTGACAGTTCGCTGTGGATTGAGGAGTTCGAAATGAATTACTCCTTTGATGTCTCGCCAAATGTAAAGCATCACTTTCTGCGGATGGAGTCCAGGTTTTGGGGTCGGAAGTGGTTTTTGTCTAGGACTGAACCATTGTTTTTGGTGTTTAATATTAGAGAATCCAATCACCGGTGACAATTCTGTCCAAAAATGGTTCACGCGCATTACGCTACAAGAGACGAAGCAACGTTAACACGTTGGAAACGATGATCAATGGAGAGTTCGTGAGGCACCCAAACACCTTCTTTATGGAGTTTTCCCCATATTCCTTAGAGGTTTACGTATTGTTTCATGAGAGACATGCAATTTCAGGGCCATTTCACAAGTGTGTTGCCTTGGGTTAGACTCAACAAGCGTCTTCAGAGTATCAATATCAATTCCAACATGTCAGCCTCTGTCATCACAGTTTTAAGGCTAAAGTCACCTGAACGAAATTTGCTGAACCATCGTTGAGACTTACGAACGTTCAGAATATTTCCATAAACTTCTTTGATATTCTTTGTGACTACAGTGGCGTTGTTTCTCTTCTTGTATTCAAACAGCATTACATGCCGAATGTGTGTCTCGTCGTGTGCCATCACTATAAGGGATTATACTATACTAAACTTTACACATTATATAGGCTACACTAACTAGACATTTGGGCGGTTTCTTTAAGTATTATACATGATGTACATTTTTTCGGGAGTGGTTAATAAAAGTGTTTCAAAATGCGACATTAATTTCTTGACGACCTAATATAAAAATACATAACTATTCTGTAATTACAATGTTTCCGAGATACTTGGAAGAAAATGAGAAGATTAGTCATATCTCACAAACTTGTGTCAATCACACAGCCAAAGGAGTCTAGAAATTCGAACAGTTGAGTTAGTTATTCATATTAATCGGAAAGTACCTGGATCTAAGGTTGTTACCATACGAAACGGATACTTTAGGTTTCCTACCAATGATGAACTGCTTGACGTGGCATCTAGTGGGAACATTAGTTCATCAGGTGGCTGTTGACCATGGTAATAATTGTAATGGCCTTGATCGCCATAAGGACAATCACAGGGGCTACCGGAATCTGGAATAATCCAAACAATTTAAGGAGCAGAATAAAGTTGTGTGAAGCAAATATTGTTGGGTAAATTAACATCATTAATAGTGTTTAAGAACCGACACAACACTTAATCGTTAGGATCTAAATAAAATATAAATATTGTCAAGAAATTATGCAAAGTAAGAAAACGTAAGACGGATTAGTTTAGAAAATATAACACGTATTATATGTCTCATACACATAGCAGGGTAAAGATACATCACAGGCCCAGTACATACAGCAGGTACAAGTATACATTATAGATCACGCAATTCTATTACATTAAAAAGACATCATAGGTCCAGTACATGTACTTAGTTAAGGATACATTATAGGCCCAGTACATGTAGTAAGTTAAGGATACATCATAGGTCCAGTACATGTAGTAAGTTAAGGATACATTATAGGCCCAGTACATGTAGTAAGTTAAGGATACATTATAGGCCCAGTACATGTAGTAAGTTAAGGATACATTATAGGTCCAGTACATGTAGTAAGTTAAGGATACATTATAGGTCCAGTACATGTAGTAAGTTAAGGATACATTATAGGTCCAGTACATGTAATAAGTTAAGGATACATTATAGGTCCATTACATACCTAAAAATCAAACACTGTATAAAACAATATAAAAAATATCTCGGATGAAGATATTCCTGATCAGTTCTAACATCCACCTGTTAATAATATTTGATACCACAACACAACAATGCATTTAAACAAACACAATTTAATTGAAACCCGCATATCACTTTTGTTGTTAGAAAACATAAAAAAATTGACCGTTTATATTGCCACAACATTTAGATGTGTTAGACAGAGGGTTGAGCACGTTTTATAAAAACGATTTTGAATATGCAAATCAGCAAGTTACGTGACAACCACGGCCAAAACAAACTCGCGATGGAAGGGCATGTATCAGAACCACATTTTGACACTAATTAGTGTTATGTAGGTAGTGTGATGGTACCAAAAATTGATCACTTTGGGAAGAGTATGTAAAAATCCTTTCAAACATAAAATATTCATACACTCAAATCATAAAGATGTGTTTAGATCGGGGATTTACGATTTCTAAGATGAGGATATTCCTTGTACTTAACGGCATTGGAAAAAAAGGAAAATGAATCAACTTGGGAAATCAGGACCAACCATAAAGATAACTGCAACAAATTGTACCCCAGCCGTGGTAAGGAACATGTGACGTCTTATAACATGTGAGAATCCATGAACACAAAGGTCAGTGGTAATAGCAGTCCACGTGCCCTAGACAACAATACACAATATAATTAAGAAAGATCTCCGACTGGAAAAGTGATAAAAGTCTCATATACACAAGTTGCTTCCATGACATATTCATTCAACAATTCAACCGTTGCATACCTCAAACAGCTGGAGAATACAACGGGTATTCATGCTATACCGTACAAAGACTACCGGTAAAGATACTGGATGTAGCACCTTTGGATTTCTTTGCATCTGGGCCGTTGAAATGGGTGCTGCATTAAAACCCTCGGCCTCGTATAAATTACGTGGATTATGGAAGATACATATGGAGGAGTGGTGTGCTTCGGACAGATTTACGACGGAGCCTTTGGAATGGAAACTGCACTGTCAAGATGCACAGTTGTTAGACAGAGCATGATGACCAGACATGGCGACACTGTCTGTGACGATGTTATGAGACTTCAAAATTGTTTTAATGTAGCATACTAAACATTTTATAGTTTACACAATTTCTGTTTAGGAAACAATTTGTATTCTTGTTGAAAACAATGTTGGTGTAATTTACAACATGATATACCTTACAGTGCATGTGCATAATTTCTTTAAAATATTTTAAGAACTTTTATTGGTTAGTAACATTTTTCTATGTTAATAACTTTTGAAAAACGTACAGTGTACATGACGTTGCCTTTTGGCGTCATTAGATTGTTTAGTTACAATTTTTTTAGTGTTAAGGGAAAGCGAAACTATGACTTGGAATGTTCGGTAGTCGTCAGCAGAAAACTGGACCGACAAGAGGCAGCACGGCCAGAAGAGCAGCAACGGTAGGACATTTCTTTATCATGTAGTGAAGTTTTACTGACACGGTTTTACTAGTGTGAAAAGTGTTAAAGTTGGCAACTTGCTAGATCCGGTGAAAGACTCCAAATTGATTCACTCTTCTTCCACCTTCAGTGAATGATTGGTTTCCGAATTGCTGCAGTCCATCAAATTATCTACTCCAGTGTTTCTCAATCACAGGTCCATCACAGTTATTTTGCTGATCCGTGGGGTTTCACACAAACAAAACTGAAAGAATATTTGTATATCAATTGTAATTATTTTCGTTGTACTTGCATTTTGGGGTCCACGAGAGCGACCCGGAGGCAGCGAACTAGTCCTTGGTATACAAAAGATTAAAAATTACTGGACTTTACTCAAACGGCAGATAGTTCCTTGTTTCGTGAAAGAAAAATATATCTGCTTGATGGGAGAACATGCACGCACAAATATTAACCCAACGTACCCGCTGCAGCAGAGACACCGGGGGCACCGCATTGTAAAGATTACACGTGCATTGAGACGACCCCTATTAAGTTAAGCGAGTTTAATAAACCACATTCTCTTTCATTCTACGAATATACGTGTTGCGATAATTATCTGTAGCCACTTACCTTATTTATTATTATCTATACGGATATACGTGTTGCGATAATTATCTGTAGCCACTTACCTTATTTATTATTATCTCTACGATATACGTGTTGCGATAATTATCTGTAGCCACTTACCTTATTTATTATTATCTATACGGATATACGTGTTGCGATAATTATCTGTAGCCACTTACCTTATTTATTATTATCTATACGGATATACGTGTTGCGATAATTATCTGTAGCCACTTACCTTATTTATTATTATCTATACGGATATACGTGTTGCGATAATTATCTGTAGCCACTTACCTTATTTATTATTATCTATACGGATATACGTGTTGCGATAATTATCTGTAGCCACTTACCTTATTTATTATTATCTATTCAACAACGGTAAGATTGGTCTTCATGACAACAGATTACCTTGAAAAAACGTTTACATTTTCAGTTCAGATGACCTATTTTGAATTATAACGTTTGGGAAATGAACTACTACGCAATACTGGTGTTTGCGAAGCGTATTTTTGTTGCTAAACATTATTATATTTACATTTTTAGAGAAATATACGGAAAACGACCGACCGACAGCTCTGTTAATCTTATTGAAATATTGTTCAATAAAATAATTTCAATGTTAAAAATATATAAACACACAATTATACACTTTAGTCCTTACATGAAGGTTTCCTGCCTTTACTCTTGCCGTTGGGTTAGAAGTTAGGAGAAAAAATAACACCTCAGTAGTGGTCAATACTCTGCATTCGATAACCTGGGACCTGAACACACACTGCCTAATCGCCTTCAGTTGTTGATGGGATTTTGAAAGTGCTACCCACGGTTATAATACAAAGGTATATATGACTGGCTATTCACCACAAGGTTTGAACATGTACTTGTTACATAAGAAAGAGGAAAGGCAGAATACAGTGGCGACAGTTCCAGCTTTTTCTACCGTTTCTTTTCTAAACACTAGAATAAGGGGATGAGCCAATATGTAATAAAAGAACAATAACATTTTTTCTACTATACAACTAAACATTATTATAATTACAAAGTCTACAGGAAGGGCTTTTGTACTTTTGGAGTCTGTTCCTAAGCAACTTCTTTGAGTGACTAAAATTGTTTTCTGTATCTGCCTGTTTGTTCCAGTCATATATTCGTTTTATACGTTGAAGATATCGGTAGTAGGGGAACAGTTCTAATCCATATTTTCAGCACTGCCTCACATTAGATTGAAGTGTTTATTGTCCACAGCAGCGGTTGCAAACATTTTCTATATATAAAAAAAAAGCTACATTAATTTATTGACGACCTAATATATTAGAATATGGCTAGCCAAATATTGTTAAAATATCAAATTTTGGCATTATGACTTCGGCTCCTCAATGACCCAGACGTGCGTGTCATCGTCGCTTATTACTTTATATACATGGTTCTGACGTCATTAAATTAATTGTAAAATATTGTATTAGATGAAACTTTTTATTTTGAGAAACAGTGCAACTCATTAGGGCACTCGACACGCAATCTGTGAGTCGCGTGTTCGAATCTCATCATCGAATATGCTCGCCCTTTCTTCTTGGGGGCGTTATAATATGATGGCCAATTCCACTTTTCTTGGTAAAGAGTAGTCCCGAGAGTTAGCGGTGAGTGATATTCACTAGCTGCCTTCCCTCTAACCTACCACTTCTAAATTAGGGACGGCTAACGCAAATAGCCCTCTAGTAGCATTGCGCGAAATTCAACAAAGAAAGAAACACTTTTTATAACAAGTTAACTATGCCTCACCAACGCATCGTGTTCTCCAGTAGCACAGTGGTATGTCTGCGGACATACAATGCTAGAAACCGGGTTTCGATACCTGTGGTGGGCAGAGCACCGTTGTGTAGCTATGTGCTTAATTCCAAACAAACTCTTCATCGTACGTCAACCTTGCAGTAGAAATATATTTTTTGCCCTTTCTTGATCGTACACCAAAGATACAAATGCCTATATGCAAGTTTATACATGGAATTAACACTTTGATTTTTCTTGAGTTTATGCGCAAAGCTACACAAGGTCTATCTGCGCATAGCTGTACCTAATTTTGAGCCAACAGACTAGAAGGAAGGCAGCTAGACAATAGTACTTATCTCCACATCTTGTCTAGCCGAATAGAGATTTGACCATTAGTCCTAGAACGCACCCACAGCCCAAAGTGAGGAGAACGATTTTGCGGCAACGGGACGCAAACATTCAACCCTCGGATTCACAGTCCAGAAACGTTAACCACAGGCCCACACCCGCCCCAGAACTTTTATTATTATAGAATATTTAGCATTTACATATAAAACATTG